AAAAAAAAAAAAAAAAAAAAACAAAAGAGGAAGAAAGATTCCCTCAGGTTGAATTTGGTAAAAATACACCAAAACATTAAAGAAATGAGTCATTATAAATAAGAATAAACAGAAATACAGAAATAATAACCCTAGATCTAGATCCTGAAGACTATAATTATATTATCAGATATAGAATATATGTGTGAAATGTTTAAACAAATAAGAAACAGAGTTAAAACATGATTAACCTTAAGAAACTCTGAGGCTGGGTGCGGTGGCTCATACCTCTAATCCCAGCACTTTGGGAGGCTGTGGCAGGCAGATCAGTTGAGGTCAGGAGTTTGAGACCAGCCTGGCCAACATGGCAAAACCCTGTCTCTACTAAAAATACAAAAATTGGGGCATGGTGGCGGGTTCCTGTAATCCCAGCTACTTGGGAGGCTGAGGCAGGAGAATTGCTTTTCCAGGAGGTAAAGTTGGAGTGAGTAGAGGTCACACCACTGCACTCTAGCCTAGGCAACAGAGCAGGACTCAAAATACATAAACTGTCAGAAATCATGACCTGTGTTTGGAAAAATATCTAAAAAGAACTTTAAAGTATGTTTATATAATTGTTGAAAATATACAGTAAGCTGATTTAAACATTAGACATAATTGAATAGAGATTTAATGAATTAGACAAAAGAGCTGGATAAATTATACAAAATCAAATTTGGAGATAAAATGGGATATAAAGTATGAAAACGATGTTAAAAAATATGTTAACAATAGGCCATACATGGTGGTTCATGCCTGCATCCCAGCACTTTGGAAGTCAGGGCAGTTAGATCGCCTGAGGTCAGGTATTCAAGACCAACCTGGCCAACATGGTGAAACCCTGTCTCTGCAAACAGTATAAAAATAAGCCCAGTGTAGTGTTGGGTGCTGGTAATCACAGCTACTTGGGAAGCTGAGCAGAAGAATCACTTGAACCCAGGAGATGGAGGTTACTGTGAGCCTAGATTATACCACTGCACTCCAGCCTGGGCGACAGAGTGAGACTGCATCTTAAGAATAAAAAATAAAAAAGTTGACAATAAAATAATGGTCTAACATATATCTAATGAGAGGTTCAAAAAAGGGCAGAATATAAAGAATGGAGGAGAGGTAATATTCAGAGAGTGGGGAAGGACTTTCCCAAGCTGTTGAAAGATGCCATTCCACAGAAATAGGAGTCAATAAAAGTAAATATCCAAAAAGAAACGTCTCAATGTGGGTCAAGATGGCCAGGGAGAGACCTATGTTAATTCTAGCTAAATAATTATAAGCTTGCTTGGCTCAGAGTACACTGAAGTTTATACATTGAACTAAACTATATTATTGGTGCCGTTAATTAGAAATCAGGCGGCAACAGGAGGCCTAAGGTAAAGACCAGCCAAGAGCGCGGTAACACCAGGGAACACCTTGGGGTGATTGAGATTAGGGAATACTGCTCTGGTCCCACGAATGCCTTCTCATCATGGAGACTATATGAGGGCCTCATAAAGAGGGCTTATGCAAAGATCTCTAAGAAGGGAGGCGACATCCGCTCACAATGTCCAGGAGGGTATTTGCAGATGGTAGCTGGCAAGGAGGAGAAAAGCCTTGCAGGGCAGAGATCACGGAACGCCTCAGGCTCTGCCTAGGTTCTTGGAATATGGAGTGATTTTAATTGCTCTATGTCCACAGTGCTCGGGAGATAAAAGCCCCTGGATGCATTGGGTGTGGTCAGACCCAGTGGCTCCTATACTTCTGATACAGCTGAACCCTGATAACAACCCTGATAAGTACTAGTTTAGCATGTCTTAGAAGGATCACAATTGCTGTTAAATGCTCAGAGCACTAGTTTAGCATGTCTTAGAAGTATCTCAAGTGCTCTCCACCTGGCTATCTTACCTACTCCTTTACCCTCCCCTTCCATGCCCATAAGATCAATGATATTTATGCACATAATAAAAGTGTTTGGAGCCCAGAGCGCGGGGCCAACACAGTTCCCATGCTTGCGTTGGTCCCCTGAACGCATGTTGTAAATTCTACTCTTGTGTCCCTGTCTTTCTTTACGTCTGGACTAAGGGCACCCACATATGGGGTTGGGGCTGATACCCAACACTCAGTGCATTGTACTGGCATTCCAGAATACCACATATAAAGAGAAGATTTAAAAAATAGAAGGAAGCCAGGCACGATAGCACATGCCTGTAGTCCTGGCTACTTGGGAGGGTGAAGCAGGAGGATAGCTTAAACCTAGGAGTCCAAATTCAACCTGGGCAACAAAGTGAGACCACATCTCTTATTATTATTTATAAATAAATCAATCCATAAATAAGAGGATTGGAATCTAAAAGTTCATTAAAAAACAAAAATAGAAAAATATTTTTTAAAAACATGCCACCTACAGAGGAACAATTAAACTGACAGCATTATTAGGGATAAATTATACTTCATAACAATAGGAAGGTATAGTAATCCTGAATTTGAATATTCCTAATAAAATAACCTGGGCCAGGCACAGTGGGTGGCTCACGCCTGTAATCCCAGCACTTTGGGAGGCCGAGGTGGACAGGTCACCTGAGGTCAGGAGTTCATGACCAGCCTGGTCAACATGGTAAAACCTTGTCTCTACTAAAAATACAAAAATTAGCTGGGCGTGGTGGCGCATGCCTGTAGTACTAGCTACTTGGTAGGCTGAGGCAGGAGAATCGCTTGAACCTGAGAGGTGGAGGTTGCAGTGAGCTGAGATTGTCCCACTGGACTCCAGCCTTGGTGACAGAGCAAGACTCTGTCTTAAATAAATAGATAAAATAACCTGAAAACATATGAAGCAAAAATTGGAAACTTCATGTATATTCTACTAAAGTAAGAGATTTAAACATACCTCTCTTAATTATTGTTAGGTCAACCAGAGAACAAATTAGTATGGATATGGAAAATTTGAACAAAAATGTAATGGTCAGATACAGACTTCTGTACTCAACAATTAAAGAACACATTCTCCTTCTGCACACATGCAGCATTTATGAAAAATTATTCATAAGGCTATGAAGCAAGGTCTCAAAACTTTCAAAGTAGATTTACACAAATGAAATTTTCTGGCCACGATGCAATGAAGTTAAAAATTAATAACATAAATCTTAACTAAAGCATACACAATTACATATAAATTTGGAAGTTCAAAAGCACATTTCTGAATTCCTCATGAATCATCAAAGAAGTAATGGAAAATTTAAAAATATTCAGAACAAAAACCGACATGGAGTTAGTACTAGCATGTTATTGATAGGTACTGAAAGTAGTAGGGATTTTGGGAGTTAGACACAATATTAAAGAGTCCTCTGGAGGTCATTTAATGCAATCTTTTCCTAAGGCTGTTTTTGAATTCTCACTTCACTCTTTAGTGCAAGCCACATTAATGAAAGTAATTTTAAGGAAAAGAATGATATAAAGAGATAATATGTGTGGTGATGATTCTTATTAATGAGTTGGATACCCTTTATTTTTTACAGCCAGAGAAACAAGAATTATGAAGTCCTTTGTAGAAATAGATTAGGCAATGACTTGTATGTTGAAAGGATGATGCAGACTTTCAATGGAGCACCAAAGAATAAAGAGGTTCAATGTGATAAAATCATAATGGAAGATAAAGGTAATTTGCTTTATTCTGCTTGATAAACTGTAATGTTCTAATGTACATTCTTTGAGTCTGTAAATCAACAAATGAATATTGAAATATATAAAGCAAAAATAAAAAATAATTTAGCTAAATCACAACAGTAGTTGGACACTGTGATCTATAGCTTGCAGAATTTGACAAGTTAAGTAATAAATACATAGATTTGAATAATAATTATGCATCTTGATTTTTATGAATACTATGCCATAGAACTTTTTACTCTTTAAATATTTATAAAAACTGATTATTTACTATGTTACAAACAATATCAGCCATAACTATTAACATTTTAAATGTGTCAGACACTATTCTAGGTCCTTCACATATATTAACTGGTTTAATTTTTACAGCAACCCTATGAGGTAGATACTATTATGCTTCCCCATTTTATAGATGAGGAAACAGGCAAAGAGAAGTTTGCTAACTGTTCTGGTTCTAGAGCCTGTGCATTTAACTGCTATACTTCCCACATCTCAATGTGTACAAATTAACAACCTTGAGCACATTGCATAGCCAAAATCTGTGGGGTGTAGCCAAAAAAGTGATTAGAAGTAAGTTTAATTTTTTTTTTTTTTTTTTTTTTTGAGACAGAGTGTAGTGCAATGGCACCATCTTTACTCACTGCACCTCCGCCTCCCAGGTTCAAGTGATTCTCCCGCCTCAGCCTCCCAAGCAGTTGGGATTACAGGCACCCATCATCATGCCCAGCTATTTTTTTTATTTTTTATTTTTGTAGAGACAGGGTTTCACCATGTTGGCCAGGATGGTCTTGAACTCCTGAACTCAGGTGATCTGCCCGCCTGGGCCTCCCAAAGTGCTGGGATTACAGGCATGAGCCACCAAGCCCGCTGGTTATATTCTTAATTGCCATTATTATGCAGCAAAACTGTAAACTACTTTTAAAAAAAGATTAAAATAAACTCCTAGCAAAAAAGTTAACCGTTACTTTTAGTATAAGAACATAAATACATCTTATTGGTGGGAGCATTTATTCCCTACTCCTAAGGTTTTCTTTTATGTGGAAGAACATGAATGGATATCTTTGCCTCTATCTCCTTCTACGCTCTCACTCATGGCGGTGTAACTCACTTAACTGGTAGATGCCCATACATGGGGATGTATGGTTATTTGGTTATTCCCCTGCTTTCTCTCTCCTGGTAGCCTGCTGGCAGAAAGGAGTACAAATTCTGATTGCGTTCTCCATGCTGAAAATTTTATACGGGAAGGACTCAGCATTGTTAGGCCTGTGGTTATCAAGCTCATTGTTGCTGCATTTCTAAACTATATCAGCCAACCTAAACATTACCAGTAATAAAGACAATTTTGATCACTATTTTATTTCTGACAAGTTTCTTAATTGGTGGGAACTTGGATGGACCCAGAAAAGTGAATACTTAGATGGTATTTAGTAACTTTTTCTAGTCCTTAACCAATTCATATTAGGAAACTTATTCATATTTTTTCCAAATACGTAGTAACGGATTTAAATATTTTTAAATGGATTACTGTATGTAACTTTAGGTTTCTAATTCATTTTAGGAAATCTATTCATATTTTTTCAAAAGTAAGGGGTTTAATTATTTTAAATGGATTACTGTATATAACTTTATGCTAAAATATTTGAAAATAAAGAAAAGAATGATTCTTTGTGGAACTCAAAATTATGAAAACTTCCCAAGAAATAATAAAATTATACATACTCAGACAAATGGGAAAATTTTACCAAAATATACCTCTTTAAAATGGCCTAAATCAAGATCAAATTACTTTAGAGGTTTATTCTGTAAATATGAGAATACTTTATAATATTCATGTGTATTAGGGTTCTTCAGAAAAACAGAACCAATAGGATATATATATATGTATATATATGTGTATATATATGTATATGTGTATGTATATATGTGTATACATATGTATATATGTATTCATAGCTACGATTTATTTATTGAGATGGAGCCTCGCTCTGTCGCCAGGCTGGAGTGCAGTGGCACGATCTCAGCTCACTGCAACCTCCGCCTCCTGGGTTCAAGTGATCCTCATTCCTCAGCCTCCTGAGTAGCTGGGACTACAGGCACCACTACCACGCCCAGCTAAATTTTTGTATTTTTAGTAGAGACGGTGTATCACCATGTTGGCCCGGATGGTCTCAATCTCCTGACCTTGTGATCTGCCCACCTTGGCCTCCCAAAGTGCTGGGATTATAGGCGTGAGCCACCACTCCCAGCCGATTTATATTTTATATCTAGGATTTATATAAAAAGAGATTCATTACAGGGCATTGGCCTATGTAATTATGGAGGCTGAGAAGTACCATGATCTGTCATGTGCAAACTGGAGATATAGGAAAGCTGATGGGGTAGTTTGAAGCCCTGAGAGTTGAAGAGCCAGTGGTATAAATTCTTGTCTACCTCTGAAGACCTGAGAACCAGGAGCAATGAGGGGATTGATACCTCTACTGAAGTAATCAGGCAGAGAATGAATTCAACCTTCCTCCACCTTTTAGTTTTATTCAGCCCTCAATGTATTGGATGATGGCCACCACACTGGGGAGAGCCATCTGCTTTACTCAGTCCACCAATTCAAATGCTAATCTCTTGTGGATACACCCTCACAGATATACCCAGATGCAGTATTTTTTTATTTTTATCTTTATTTTTTTGTTGTTGTTGTTGGGTGGATCACCTGAGGTCAGGAGACATCCAGATACAATGTTTAATCAGCTAGCTAGGCATCTTCTGCCCAGTCAGGTTGACACATAAAGTTAACTATCACATCATATTATTTAAATTGCTCCAAATTATATAAAATATGAGAATGTTTACTAATTTGTAAAACAAGATTAAACAAAACGTGACAAAGAAAATACAGACTAATATATATGTGGAAAAATTAAAAATATAGTAGTACTAAATTTGAAACCTCAAGGCATTAGGAATCCCTGTAGTAACACCAACTTATTCTAGGAGTATAAAGATTATTAAATATCAGGAAACTTATGATTCATCATCACAAAATCATATTACAGGTTTAATGTAAAACATGAATGGTAAATGCCAAAAAGAGCAGTTGATACAATTCAGCATTCATTCCTGATGAAATTATCTGTACAGGAATGGTATGGTTCTTCTTGATAAAATATTCAAAATAAAAAGCAAAATTTCTGCTTAAAGGTGAACTACTAGAGATAATTGCTGTGATCCATTAAATATAAGAACCAGAAATAGTGTCACTTATTACAGTAACTTCAACTTTGATGGTTCCAACTATTGCAGTAAGACAGCAACAGATTTAGGATATTAATATTTATAAAGACACAAAAACAAATTGTCATTATTTGTAGGTGACCTTAAGGTCTACTTAGCTACCTCAAGAGCATTAACTAAAAAAAAATAGTTCCAGGATAATGCAGCAAAAATGGCAGAGTAGGTAGTTCTGACAACATATCCCACAGAAATGCCCCCAAAACTGACCAAATGCTGTCAGAATCTGTTGCATTCATGGAACAAGAACAGAATATTCTTTAGAAAGAACATTCAAAGAATAAAAGGATCTTGTTAGCTTAATAAAATGTTTGGAAGATAAAAAAAAAAAAATCTCCAAGAAATAGAAAAGAAAAACAAACAGATGAAAAATTCAAGAGAAAGAGTAAAATTAGAGGACCAGTCCAGGAAGTTCAATAGTCAATAATGGTTCTAAAACAGAAAATGGAGGGGAAGACATCATTCAGTAAAACCTCTCACACTTGAAAGTCAAAAGTTGGTGATTGAAGGGGAACAACAAGTGCCAGCATATTACTAATAAATGAAATTTTAAAATGTGATGGACAGAAAATGTCAACAAGCTACCAGAGAGAAATATAAATAGGTCAGTGTAGAGAACAAGACATCAGACTGGCTGGAAACAAGAACGTAATGGGACACTGCTGATATGCCTTGGCTGTGTTCCCACCCAAATCTCATCTTGAATTGTAATCCCCATAATTCCTACATGTTGTAAGAGGGAAGAGGTGGAGATAATCGAATCATGGGGGTGTTACCCTCATGTTGTTCTTGATAGTGAGTGAGTACTCATGAGAGCTGATGGCTTTATAAGGGGCTTCCCCCTTCGCTTGTGATTCACTTCTCTCACCTGCCGCCATGTAAGATATGCCTTTTTCGTCTTCCGCCATGATTCTAAGTTTCCTGAGGCCTTCCTTGCAATGTGTAACTGTGAGTCAATTAACATTCTTTATAAATTACCCAGTCTTGGGTATGCCTTCATAGCAGCATGACAATGGACTAATACAACTGCCTTTGAAATTTAGAAGGTAAGTAATTTCCAGTCTAGATACTACATCCAAGTGAATATCAAGTATGAGGGTAGAATAAAGACATTTTCATACATGTAAAGTATCAAAATAATTTACCTCTCCTGTATATTTTTTCAAGAAGTCAAGGATGTGCTCAACCAAAACCAGTTGTGAAACAAAAAAAGAGGAAGACAATAAAATACATTGAACAAGTTATCTGACGTAGGAGTGAGGTGGTAGTAGTTCCCAGAAGGAAAATGACTGAACAGCCTAGGATTTCAGCTGTTCACCAAACACAAAGGACAACCAATTTACATTAAAACAATGTGACTTGAGACTGGCACATTGATCACTGTCATAACCTAGATGCTTGCTGACATTATACAATCTTTTTAACCTGAAGACAGAATACTTAGACATATCACAGGCCTGAATTCTTTTCTGTATCTAGCTTGCCTTTACCTTTTTGTTCGTTTTTTTTGAGACTCACTCTGTTGCCCAGGCTGGAGTGCTGTGGCACAATCTTAGCTCACTGCAACCATCGCCACCTGGGTTCAAGCGATTCTCCTGCCACAGCCTCTTGAGTAGCTGGGATTACAAGCTCCCACCATCACGCCTGGCTAGTTTTTGTATTTTTAGTAGAAATGGAATTTTACCATCTTGGCCAGGCTGGTCTGAAACTCCTGACCTCAAGTGAACCACTGGCTTCAACCTCCTAAAGTGCTGGGATGAGGCAAGAGGCACCACATCCTGCCACCTTTACCATTCTTAATGCGGTTCCTGCTTTCCTTTTCAATAGGCCTCTATAAATAAGCTGAAGGTCAATAATTTGAAATGCCACTTTTATCATAAATTACTATGTGTTATACTGTTAGGGAAAACTTATTCCTTCCTTTTTGTGAACGTTTACAGAAAGAACTTCTGCTAAAGTAACAGTTTTGGCCTCTTTTTATACATTATTTACTCATTCCCAGGAAAAGAGAAGTGACTAATTTGATAAAAGAATTTAGGAGAAGGAATGAAGCTCAGTCACTTCTGGCTGAGTCACTTTTTGTGAAGTCTGTTTACTGGCAGAAAGCATGCAATATGGGCTGTTCTTACCCCTATGGAGGAGGACTGTGCTTGTCTAGCTGTGCCAATTACTGGTTGGTAATTCCTTCCTATATTCTGGAAGGAAGAATTATGTCTGTTTAGTTGCAGCGTTAAGGCTACATTTTCCAATTACGCTTGTCAATAATAAAGGTAATATTTGGATCTCCATTTCTCTGATTCTTGCGTCTTTTTCAGTTTTATCCAAAATCAGGCAGGAAAGATGTACACTTTTATTGATCCATAAAATGTTTTTTTTTTGTTGTTTTCCTTGAGACAGAGTCTCACTCTGACACCCAGGCTGAAGCGCAATGGCATAATCTCTGCTCACTGCAATCTCTGCCTCCCAGGTTCAAGTGATTCTCGTGCCTCAGCCTCCCGAGTAGCTGGGATTACAGGCACGTGTCACCACGCTGGGCTAATTTTTGTATTTTTAATAGAGATAGGGTTTCACCATGTTGGCATGGCTGGTCTCAAACAAACTCCTGACCTCAAGCGATCCACCCACCTTGGCCTCCCAAAGTGCTGGGATTACGGGTATGAGCCACCATGCCCAGCATCCAGAAAATCTTAATATTTACATAATATGCATCTAAATTCTTTAGTGTAAGCTGTCTTTAATTATTTAAAAGCTTTATTATGAAATATATACTACAAACAGAAGAGTGTATAACACATATATGTATAGTGTAAAGAAAAATCAATACCATGTACTTACCAGCCAGGATAAGAAATAGAACATCCCCAATTGATTCGAAGCCCCTGGACACTCTCCTATCACAACCCCCTTTCTTCTAGCCACTTCTAACAGAAGTATCCACTCTCCTGACTTTTGGGTTGATCATTACCTTGCTCTTTTAAATCTTTTCTTTTACAGCAGATGCTAATTGTGAACTGCCCATATCTCCTCCACATTACCTCTTAACTAGCCAATCTCCATCTGTCAGCGCTTACATTTTTTTGCTTTTTAACAACTATTTAAGTGTGTATTAGACTGAGAAATCCTAAAAAAAAAAAAAAAAAAAAGACACAATTTGGAATGCTTTTTTTCTGATACCAGTTAAAATAAGCTTTCTTTGATATCACATAATTATAAAATTGGGAAGTCACAGTCATTCATTGTTACCCATCTTTTACATAACATTAGGGCATGAATTTTGAGATTTTTTTAAACAGCTTTATTGAGTTATAATTAATATACAAAATTGCACATGTTGATGCATACAGTTTGACAGGTTCGAGATTTTGTTTCTTAAGTTAATTAAACTTGTTCAAATGAACAAATGTAACTATAGTACCCAAACTAAAATTAGCAGTAATTTGTTATCTGCAAATAAGAAGCAACTTTTAATTATCCAAACATATTATATTGCTTCTTTATAATAGACATATTTATTTATGTAACAATTATTAGTGACCATGTAATAGTATATTCCTATATGCTAAACTTACAAAACTTTCAGTTAAAGGAAAGAAAAAGAAAGTTGAGTAATTCAGTATTCAAAATGTAATTTCCAAGTTCTCTTCATAAACATGGAAAATGTACTTTTTCAGTTGAGCAAAATACACTAGGTGTTCTGTGCATGACTTTGTTAGATGGCCTTAAAAATAAGTTCATTAAGATAGAAATATCATTAAGAAATTTGAGTTAACATTCTTACCCATTGAGGCTGGGCATGGTGGCTCACACCTGTAATCTCAGCACTTTGGGAGGCCACGGCAGATGGATCACTTAAGGTCAGGAGATCAAGACCAGCCTGGCCAACATGTTGAAACCCCATTTCTACTTAAAATACAAAAATTAGCCTGGCGTGGTGTGGGTGCCTGTAATCCCAGGTACTTGGGGAGGCTGAGGCAGGAGAATCACTTGAACTCAGGAGGCATAGGCTGCAGTGAGCTGAGATCACACTACTGCACTCCAGCCTGGGCAACAGAGCCAAACTCCATCTTAAAAAAACAAAACAGGGCTGGGCATGGTGGCTCACCCCTGTAATCCCAGCATTTTGGTAGGCCAAGGCGGGTGGATCATGAGGTCAGGAGTTCAAGACTAGCCTGACCAATGTGAAACCCTGTCTCTACTAAAAATACAAAAGTTAGCCACTAGCGGTGGCACATGCCTGTAGTCCCAGCTACTCGGGAGGCTGAGGCAGGAGAATCGCTTGAACCCTGGAGGCGGAGATTGCAGTAAGCCAAGATTGCACTCCAGCCTGGACAACAGAGCAAGACTCCATCTCAAAAAAAAACAGAAATAGAAACAAAAAAAATCTATTCTTACCCATTGAAAACATTGCATTACTAGAGCTCCTCCATTTTGTATTAGGAAAATAATAGCTGTAACAATTAAGTAGCTGCATTTACTAGATCTATATTCTGTTTTGCTTTTTAAGGAAAAAATTATTTATTAAATCATCATCCTTTAACTGAAAAATTGGTAAATTTAGCATATTTGAATATATTGTTACATGATCACTGATAAAATAATTGCTGCATAAACATAAATCAGCAGTTAAAGAGACTTGGAGTTTTTAAGTTATTATTTAAAGATAAATAACATTGCCAATATTTGTTTGCAAAGCATTGTTATATTTTTGATGATTTGAGTAAATTTAACCTAAACTGTAATTTTAAAAGAGAAGCTAATAACCATACTACTCTACAAGCTTCTTGAGATCAGAGTATCAATTTTCCCAGCGGGTACAATCTTTTCACATAATAGGTATGTAGGGAATTTTACTTGATAAAAATGGTATCCAATGCTGGCAAATATCTGTTGACAATGACATATTATGTATTAATCATAAGTCAAGGAACATAAAAATCTTGTTATAACATAGTTGTCCAGATGCATATCACCAAGGCAGCCCTACAAAGACAGACTGATGAGATTATGCAGCACAGGTGTGGGGTACAGGGGAGGGAGGTGTGATGGTCAGAAAGGATTGTGAAGATAATTTAGAGTTAGCCATAAAGCACTGAAGTGTTTGTAGATACTGATAGTGTGACGACTAAGGCTTTCTTGAGGTGTCCTCATGATGTATTTCTTTGCCATTTCTATCTACTTTCTGTTATACTGTAAAACAGTAGTATTAATAAATAAATAATAGATTCTTTTTAAATTTTTAAATTTCTTTAAAGACAAGCAATTACCATGTTGTCTAGGCTAGAATGCAGTGACAGTTTTCAGGCATGCTCATAATACACTACTGCCTCCAACTCCCGGCCTCAAGTGATCCTCCTGCCTCAGGTGGACCAAGTAGCTGGCATGGGCAACTGCGTCAGGCAACAGTAGATAGTCTTATCTTAGATTTTTCTGTGACTAGTTATGTATAAAGCTAAAATGTTGGAATTTGGTTTAAAACAATTTTTACCTTTCTGTCTCTTTATTTAGGCATAATGTCCACTGCCTGGGATTTGTATGATTCTTACAATGCTATGGAACTTTTATCTTTATCAGTAAAGCAATCTTCACCTGAGTCAAGTAGTAAAGCAAATGTACTTCCTAAAGATCGGGAGCAAGGATTGGCAGGGAGCACTACAGAAAAAAGTAAGATCTCATTTATTTTAGTTTTTTTGAATGACTTTAACATGGGATTTTTAATAAATTCTTTTTTGGCAGTTACAAAAAATTTTCTTTCTGATGGACCATGAAAAGTACAGCTTTTACTCAGAAATAGCACTGTTACTCTATATCACATGGTCTTGGACTTGACTGAAAAATTTATGTTTTTCTTGGATATCTGTCAAGAATTTTTAGCTTCTCTCTTTCTCTTGTGCACTTTTACTTGTTCTTAAGCTCTCTTTTATACATGTGAGTTCCATCATTTTCTATCTTCCTTTCTTTCAATTAGATTACTTAGGAGAAAAAGAATGTATACTAGCTCTATGACAACTTAAAAATGATTTATACATTAATAGCAGTGGCTCTTAATTTGGGACTATTTTACTTTCCCTGGGGACATTTGGATGTCTGGAGGTATTCTTGTTCTTCATGACTATGAGGGCATCTGCTAGGGACACTGCAAAAAATCTTTTAGTACACAGGACAGTTCCTATAACAAAGAATTTTCAACCCAAAATATCAGTACCTGTACTGCCACGGTTGAGAAACCCTACATTACAACGTTAGCTTTTAGTATTTTAATTTTTAAGAAAAAATGTTATAATTAAAATCAATACAAAGTTGTAACTTTCCAAATTACTTTGCAATGTGGAAGAATTTTTACAAGTCCAGTTATAAGAAGTTTGTTAAATTCCATTTCTGAATAGCTTATGGTTATCTACTTTTACTTTTCCTATTTTGAAATGTTGTATCTTTTTCTTATAAAATTATATTACTGCATTTAGGGGATGGTCCTCTTTTTAGAATAACTTAAACCTGATACATTTTTTAACATTTTGGCAAATTTTTACAGTTAAATGGGAATGTTTCTACTTTCACTAATTTTGACCTAAAGACAAATGGAATATTTTCAAGTTCAGTAAATCAGTAAGTATAAGTATTTTGAAATAACAAGTTTAAAGAGAAGTAATAATTTCCAGAAAACAATTACCTTATTTATAATTGACTACATGTCCTTAGGAGACTGTAGATCCATGAGATCTTTCAACTGGTTCCTTTTTTAAAATCTCATTTACTAGTCTCTTTGAACCTTAACTTTCAATAAGTGGCCTATATTCCTTGGTTCTTTAACTGTGCTTACAGTCATGTAGACTATGTTTTACTGAAAGTTGTTTATAATGAAGAATAGTTAACTTTCCCAGAGACCAATGAAGGGGAAAAATAAGTTATTTAGTATTAGTTTTCACTAAAGAAACATTGTTTTTGTTAAATATGAATGTCTATACAATAGGTTTGGTTTTAGGCGCTATCAAAAACTTCTCAGAAGAAGCCAATCTTAGACTGAAAATTACATTGGGACTTTGTATTAGATCTGCCTCTTCTACACCATTAAGGCCACTGGCTTACAAAAATGTGCAAGTGGAAAGTCCCCCACAAGAAATAAATCTCAGTTTGTGAATCTTTCAGAGTATTTGATGTGTGTATGGGTGTGCTTTTAAAAATCAAAAGGGATAATAAAAGCATATTCAATAACTACAATAGAAAATAAAGATATATTTTATTTTAGTATTATAGCCAGTCAAGGGCATAGGGGAAACTGGAACTAGGAAACGAAAGTTAAAAAATAGGAAAATATAGGAACAAAGCTGATTAATCAGATTTATTGAAAATGTAAAGGAAATTCAGATGAAACTAAGACTAGTCACTTCTAAGATCCTTTTGACTCTGAGATTTTTATAATAGAAACACAAAGAAAAATAGTTAAATATGCTCCATATTTGATTTAAGAGTATTATACAAGTTGCATTTAACCTACTGTTTGTCGTACTCAAAGGGGAAAAAAGTCCAATAATATTTACCTTTGAATGTAAGACCATACCTTAATTGATAGAGAAAAATGATTTTTTTCTTCTGAAATAGTGCTTTCTATTAATCAATAGAAAACTGGTTAATAGAATTTTCTAGTATAGTTTTAGATTTACAGAAAAATTGAGCATATAATATTGAGAGATTCATAAAATCATTTCATCTCTCTACTTTCTGTACACAGTGGCCCCTGTGTACAGAAATTAATATTTTGCATTAATGTGGTATATTTGTTATTATTGGTAAACAAATATTGATACATTATTATTAATTAAAATCCATAGCTTACAGTAAGTTCCATTCTTTGTGTTGTATAGTTCTTTGTATTTTAACAAATGCATAACAGCATGTTTCTACCATTACAATTTTATAAAGCAAAAAATTAATAGTTTCTAAATATCCCGTGTCCCACCTATTCATCATTTCTCCTTTCTCCTGTAAAATATCATTCTCCTTTGATAGTCAATGATATTTTAATTTTTATTGTCTTTATAATTTTGTCTTTTCCAAATTGTCATATAATTGGAGTCCTACAACATGTAGCCTTTTCAGACTGGCTCTTTCTACTAAGATTCCAAGTGTTTGGAGACCTTCCTGTTATCTTTCTATTACTGATTTCTAGTTTGATTCCACTGTGACTGTAAAACACACTATAATTTCTCTTCTTTTAACATGCTATGATTTCTCTTCTTTTAAATTTTTTAAGATTTGTTATTTGGCCTAGGATGTGTATTCTGCTCTTATTAGGTGGAATATTATATAAATGTTAGTTACATCCTTTTTGTTGATGATGTTATTGAATTCATATATACCCTTGCTGATTTTCTATCTCTTTCTTCTATCAACATTTTATTTAACCATTATCTCTCTTTTCAGTTCTAATAATTTTTACTTTACATATTTTATAGCCTCATTGTTTTGCATAAACATTAATTATTGCTATGTCTTCTTGGTGCAATCATAACATAATGTTGCTGTTTGTCCCTGGTAATTTTCTTTGCTCTGAAGTCCACTTTATATGATATCGCTATAGCCCCTCCTGCTTTCTTTTGGTTAATGTTTACCTACTATATCTTTTTTTATTTGTTTACTTTCAACCTATCTATATTGTATATTTGAAGCAAATTTATTGTAGACATCTTATGTTTGAGTCATGTTTTTAAATTCAGTTTCTTTTTTGCTAGTCTTTGGCTCTAAATTGGCATATGTAGACCATTTGTATTTAATTTTTTATTGGCATGTTAGCCTTTAAGTCTGCCGTTGTTTTCTGTTCATTCTGTCTTTGTTTCTCTCTTATCTTCTTCCTGCTTTCTTGCTGCTTCCTCAAACATTTTAATTTACCTGTAATACTTTGAGTTTATTTATGTGCAGCTTTTTTTTATTGTTTACTTTACTTATTCCATTATGCATACATAATGGTCCATAGATGTTGACATTTTACCAGTTCAAGCAAAGTGTAGAAACCTTACCTCCCTTTAGATTCCACCCCATTTATATTTGCATTATATATTTCTTCTGAGTATTTAGAAAGATTTAGATATATAAACATTTAGTATTTAGACATTTAAAACTATATTAGATGATGTAATAATTTTTGCTTCAACTGTCAAACATAATTAAGAAAACTCAAAAGAAGAAAAAAAGTATATTCTATTTATCCATATTTTCACTCTTTCCATTGTTCTTTTTTCCTTTCAGATGTTCTAAAATTCCTTTCTCATTTTTTCCTGTTTAGAGAACTGCCTGTAGCCATTCTTTAGGGAAGATTTTTTTTTTTTTTAGACAAATTCTTAGTATTCCTTTATCTGAGAATACAATATCTTAATTTCCTCTTTATTCCTACAGGATAATTCTTATAGGAAAATACACTGGGTATAGAATTTTGGGTTGACCATTCTTTCCACTTAGAGCCCAGAGAATGTGTGCCACTTTCCTCTGGCCTCCAGGGTTTCTAATGAGAAATCTGCTGCTATTCAAATTATTTTCCCACGAAAGACAAGGTGTCATTTCTCTCTTGCTGCTTTCTAGATTTTTTTTTTTTTTGGCCTTCTGTTCTTAGAAATTTTAATATGATGTGTCTTGGTGTGCATTTCTTTGAATTTCTCTTCATTGTGATTTATTCAGTTTCTTGATATGTTTGTTGTTGTCCTTTGCCAAATTTTGGGAGCTTTCAGCTATTGTTTCTTTAAGTACTTTTTCAGGCCCACCCGGTTTCTCCCATCTTCAGTTGATAATGATATGAATGGTACATATGTTGCTATAGTTGCAGAGGTTCTTGAGACTCTTCTTTTTTTTCAGACTTTTCTCTCTGTTTTAAAGATTGGGTTATTTTCATTTTTCTTTTTTCCAGTTTACTGATTTATTTTTCTTCCATTCTGCTGGTGAGCCCATCCATTCAGTCTTAAATTTTAGTTATGTTTTTCACTCCTAATATTTCCACTTGGTTCTTCTTTTCATTTGCTAAGACTTTCTATTCATTTGCTAAGAGTTTCTATTCCTTTGATGATACTTTCTGTTTTTTTCATTTGTTTCAAGTGTCTTCATAAATACCTGTTGAAGGATTTTTATAATGTTTGCTTTAAACTCTTTGGGCTGGGCGCAGTGGCTCACGCCTGTAATCCTAGCACTTTGGGAGGCCGAAGCGAGCGAATCACCTGAGGTTGGAAGTTTGAGACCAGCCTGACAAACATGGAGAAACCCCATCTCTACTAAAAATAGAGAATTATCCAGGTGTGGTAGTACATGCCTGTAATTCCAGCTACTCAGGAGGCTGAGGCAGAAGAGTCACTTGAACCCAGGAGGTGGAGGTTGCGGTGAGCCGAGATTGTGCCGTTGCACTTCAGCTGGGCAATAAAAGCAAAACTCCGTTTCAAAGCAAACCCAAAAAACAACAACAAAAAAAGCTCTTTGTCAGATAATTCGAACATTTATGTTGGTGTATAGGGACTTTTTTCCATCCAAGTTAAGATTTTCTTGGTTCTTGGTATGATGAGTAACTTTCAATTGAAACCTGGACATTTTGGGCATTGTAAGAGTCTGGATGTAAGCTTCCATTTTAGCAGACTTTGTTTGACACAGTTCTGGCAGGGGAAAGTGGAAGTCACTGCCTGATTATTGCCAGGTGGGGGGTAGAAGTCCATATTCACCACTTGACCTCCAATGACCTCAGGGGAAGTGGTGTCTTTATTACTACGGGGCGGTGACAGGAGCTCCGGTTTCCATTGACAACACCATGGCTGGGAGATTATATGAATGCTTCATTAGTGCTACATATGCAGCGTGCACTGTCACTACAGAGTGGAGGTTGTTCTCTTTATTGCTGGGCAGTAATGAAAGTTTTGACTCTTCACCAGTCCAACTCTGACTACTCCAACAGGCAGAGGGAAATATATTCTGTTACTAGTGGATAGGTTGGAATTCCAGGTTCCCCAGCTGGTCTCCATTGACACTGTGGGAAGGGGATCACTATCATTATGTTTGGAGGGGATGAAAGTCTTGCCCGCCTGCTGGACCTTCTCTGACACCATACACAGTGAAAGGTCAGGGACTTGGGATGCCTTGTTCCAACCTGGTGAGGGTGGAAGAATAGGCTCCCACTTGGCCTTTGTCACATGGATGGGGCTACAGTTTTTCCGTGCTTGGCTGGAGTAGAATGGCTGCCATCTAAAAGCCTGCTTTCTTTCAAGGCTTTGCTTTTTCTGGTCCTTTGTCTAAAGAGAGGAGGCTTCTTTTGGGGATTTTTTTTTTCTTGCCTGTTTCATCATCAGTACTCCTAGGTGGCTGACTTCTTCACCTCCATATGTGGAATATATGAGGCAAAAATAATACCCACTCCTTTTCTTCACCTTTCAAAGACTGCTTATGTTTGTTATTTTCTAAAATTTCCAGTGTTTTTAGCTGAATTTAGCAGGAGGAATAGGGAAAAGTATTTTCCCTCCCTCTATAAAGATAAAGAAGCAAGAGTTTCCTTCATTCCATTTTTTAAATCAGAATTTACTAGGTAGTATGGTAGGCAGAACATTAGTCCCCAAACTTGTGCACATCCCAATCCCTGGAACCTGCAAATATATTACCTAAAATGCCAAAAGGAATATTCCAGGTGTGATTACAATAGGGATCTGGATAATAACATTGGGCCCAGTCTAATCACATGGGATACTAAAAAGTAAAAGACCTTTCCCAGCTGTGGTGTGGGAGAGAGATGTGACTACAGAAGAAGGTCAGTGAGAGTGCAATCAATGTTCTGTCTTTGAAGATGAAGGAAAAGTTGTGGTGGCTCCCAGAAACTGAAAATATCAAGGAAACAAATGCTCTTTTAAAACCTTCAGAAAGGAACGAAGCCCTGTCAAATTCTTGGTTTAAGCTCAGTGACATCTGTTATGCCAGTAATCTTCTGAACTGTAAGGTAAATTTTGCATTGTTTTAAGCTACTGCGATTTGTTATAGCAGCTTCATCATTTGATGATTGATAGCAGTCATCAAATCAGACGTTTTTCTGAAAACTGATCATCTTATTTCAACTTGAATTTAAAAGAATAAAGATAAAAATTACCTCAGGAGGTTATCATTGCCTATCTTCTGAAAAATAGTATAGTTTTCAATGGTTAAGAATTCCAAAATGAGCTATGTGCATCTTTCATGTGCTTGCTACATAAGATATTCAATAAATATCTATTAAAGTTGTTGAAAACTTGAGGAAAAGATGAAATGTCATTTTAAAAATCTTTAGAATGTGTGAATCATCTATTTGAATATTTTATCATTGTATCATGTTTGTATTTTCTAGGTAGTGAAGCTAGTTCTCTAATGGACATAGAAAATGTAATTCTGGCAAAAATCCATGAAGATGAGGAAGACTTCTCAGATGTAATATTAAAATCTGACAGATTTCATCAGGACTTACTTTTTATGGAACGAGTTCTAATGGGAAATATATTTCAGCCAAAACTTGCAGCTTATCGTCAGCTTCCTGTTTTCAAAGGTATTTTTTTAAAAAAATAAACATGTTTAGCCTGGGTGTGGTCACTTATGCTTATAATCCTAGTACTTTGGGAGGCTAGTACTTTTGGTAGGCTGAATCCTAGTACTTTGGGATTGCTTGGGCCCAGGAGTTCAAGATTGTAGCAAGCTGTGATCATGCCACTGCACTCCAGCCTGGGTGATAGAACAAGACCTTGTCTATTAAAAACAAAAAGAAAAAAAATCATGTTTGTTTAGACAAACTCAAATAATTTTTAAAATGTAAGAGTTTTAGTATATATTTCTAAATATAATCTCCAGATTGAGCTGTCATTTTCAGAGTACTTGTTTCTAAAGCTTTCAAGACTAAATGTGCGAGTAGCACTAGAGTCCAGACTAGGATGCCCACAGAAGCAGGCTGTCTCAGATTCAAAACTTCCTAAGCATCTATAGCTCTTTGTTCTCCCTTATTCTTGCATTCAATTAGTTATTCATTTTTATAGCATCTCTCATATTCAACCTCTTCCTTTCCATTTTCGTTGTTACTTACTAGGTTCTCACTTTTGTTACCACTCCCTAATTCTATTTCAGGAGCATTCTTGCTGATCTCATTGCTACAAATTCCATCTCATATGATCACAGAATATTTTAAAGGATTTTAGAGATTGTCTTAATGAAACTTTAATCATGTAGTTAAAAATACGTGAATGAAGAAAATGAAGGCTATAGAAATTTTGTAAGGTTAATAGTAAGTGCAAAAGCTAGGCATTCAACCAAAGTCTTTTGATCTCAAGTTCCAGTTCGCTTTCTACTATAGTACCCCACTTTGCTCATTTATCCTAAACACAGCATGGCAGTTAACCACTCAAAAAACCTTCAATGCCTTCCTATTGCCTAGAATTAATTACAAAGCTCAAAGCATATCTTTCAAAACATATCTGCAATATGACCACAGATTAGTTTGTATTATCATATTGCTTTGGAGACCCTAAAAGTTAGCTATATTTAGACTTATATGGTAATCCTCAAATAAAACCTACATTTTCTGCCTTAGTACTTTTAGTTGGAATTTGCTTGACAGTCTACCCTTATCCCTACCCCATGTTTGCCTATTGTATTCCCAGCTTTCAAATATGGATTAGGGAAACTTCCTTTATGGAATTCATCATGATTCTTCAAGTCAAAATTAATATGGTTACATTTAAAAAGAAAAAGATTATAGAATAGTGTGTGTGATAAATGGTTGTAAATCTTTTTGCCTGCATACATGTAGAAGAATGTTGAAAAACTGTGTTTCTCCTCTCAGGTTGATATTTCAACATTTTTATTATATATATACAAATTTTTCATCCTGTATTTAAAGAGTTGTAAGGTTGCAATTCACATAGTACTGTATATATTGACATTTATAAAACAAAATGTAAATATAACAATGTAAACGTTACTGTTGGCCCATCACTTCTTTCATCATATCTAAGAAATAAAAATACCATAGCAAATGTTTTAATGAGGTACAATTTATATACAATGAAATATATATTTTAAATTATATTTAGAAATATATTTTGAAAATGTATAAACCCTAGTTACCAATACCTTAATCAAGACAGAAGATACATCTGTTAACCCTAAGAGTTACCTTGTGCTGTTTACCAAGTAAACCTTAAACCCTCCAACCCCTACTGCACACATACACAGGCATTGCTCTGATTTCTGTCAATATAGATTAACTTTCCCTATTCTGGTATGTCATATAAGTAGGTTCATAAAGTAAGTATTCTTTTGAGTCTAGCTTCTTGCATTCAACATTAATATTTTTGAGATTTTCTAGGTGATGTGTATCTAAGTAGTTCCAAGTAAGGCTCTAGTATATGAACATACCATAATGATCTGTTTATCCATTCACATGTTGAGGGACACTTGAGTATTTTCAGTCTGGGGATATTAAGAGTAAAGCTGGTACAAACATTTTCGTGTGAGCCTTTTGGTAGATGTATGTTTTAATTTCTCTCTTGAAAATACCTACAAATGGGATTATTGGGTTATTGGGTAGATGTTTAACTTTTTAAGAAACAGTGAAATACTTTTCCAAAGTGGCTATACCATTTTATACTCTCACAACAATGTATAAGAGTTCTACTTGCTCCACATTCTTGGTAACACCTGATGTTGGCAATCCTTTTAGTGTTCTAAAAACTGAGTTCTTGTTTATATGGTTTATTTCGGTCATTTGAATATCTTCTGTTTACCATTTGGTCAAGTCTCCAATTTAAAATTGAGTTGTCTTTTTATTTTTTTTAATTCTTCTTCCTCTTCCTCTCCTTCTTCTTCTCCTTCTCCTTCCTCTTCTTCTTCTTCTTCTTGTTTCTTCTTCTTCCTCTTCTTCCTCTGCTTCCTCTTCCTCTTCCTCCTCTTCTTCTTCTTTCTTCTTCTTCTTTCTTCTTTCTTCTTTCTTCTTTCTTCTTTCTTCTTCTTCTGTCACCCAAGCTGGAGTGCAATGGTGCAATCTTGGCTTACTGCAACCTCCACCTCCCGGGTTCCAGTGATTCCTGCCTCAGCCTTCCAAGTAGCTGGGATTACAGGTGCCTGCCACCACACCCGGCTAATTTTTGTAGTTTTAGTAGAGACTGGGTTTCCCCTTGTTAGTCAGGCTGGTCTGGAACTCCTGACCTCAGGTGTCACCCTCCTCAGCCTCCCAGAGTGGTGCTGGGATTATAGGGCGTGAGCCACTGCACCTGGCCTGAGTTGTCTTTTAAAAAAATCAAGTTGTAAGAGCTTATTTTTGTATATTCTGGATCCAAACCCTTTGTCAGTTACATATTTTGCAAATATTTACTCTACGGCTTGCCCATTTTTTTTCTCAAAAATATTTTGATGAACAGAAGGTTTTTTCTATGAAGTCTAATCTATCAGTTTTTTCTTTTATAATTAATTCTTTCCATGAGCTCTCTAACAAATCTTTGCCTGCCCCAAGTTTGAAAATTTGGAGTTCTAGGTTTTCTTATAGAAGCTGTATAGTTTTAGTTTTTATGTTTAGGTTACTATCTATACTGGGTTTTGTTTATTTTTATTTATTTATTTTTTGAGACAGGGTCTCACCCTCTCAACCCAGGCTGGAGGGCAGTGGCCTGATCTCCACTCACCACAACCTCCACCTCCCAGGCTCAAGGGATTCTCCTGCCTCAGCCTCTTGAATAGCTGGGATTACAGGCGCATGCTACTACTGCCCAGCTAATTTTTGTATTTTTAGTAGAGATGGGGTTTCACCATGTTGGCCAGGCTGGTCTTGAACTCCTGAGCCTCAAATGATCCACCACCTTCCAAAGTGCTGGGATTACAGGTGTGAGTCACTGTGCCCATACTATTTTTATTTTTAATAAATTTATTGTATATTTTTAAGGTATACAACATGATGTTATATGATAAATATATATAGTAAAAAGGTCATTATAGTGAAGTACATTAACATATCTATCATATCTGTTTTGAATTAATTTTTCTGAATGGACAAAGGTAAGGTTTAAAGTTTTTTTTTTTTTTTCTTTATGAATCTCCAGTTGTTTCAGCACCATTTAAAATAAGAGTTTTTCCCGAATCTGGAATTATAGACATGAGCCACTGTGTCTGGCTCCTTTTCTAGTTGCTTAAAATGGAAAGTTGGATCGTTGATTTCACATTTTTTTCTTGTCTAATACAGGTATTTAATATTTCAAGACTTAGTATAAAGCTACTGTGGTCAAGACAGCATGGTATTGGCAAGAGAATAGACAAAAATATAGAATAGAACAGAATAGCCTAGTAAGAGATCTGCTGAAATATAGTCAACTGATGTTTGACAAAAGAAGAAAGGCAATACTACAGAAAAAAGATAGTCTTTCAATAAATGGTACTAAATAGGAACCTAGACATAGGCTTTATACCTCTCACAAAGATTAGCTCAAATAGATCATAAACCTAAATGTAAAATGCAAAACTATAAAACTCCTAGAAGATAACAGAGGAGAAACACTAGATGACCTTGGGTCTTACAATGACTTTTAAAATACAACACCAAAGGCATGATCCATGGAGAGACATAATTGATAAGCTAGGCCTCATTAAAATTAAAAACTTCTGCTCTGCAAAAGACACTGTCAAGAGAATAAGAATACCAGTCACAAACTGAAGACAATATTTTCAAAAGACATTTCATATAAATTACTGTGATCCAAAACATGCAAAGAACTTTTAAAACCCAATAATAAGAAAACAAGCAACATGATTGACAAATGGGTAAAAGACCTGAAGAGGTACCTCACTGAAGAATTATACATGGCAAAGTAGCATACAAAGAGATACTCAACATCATATTATTTCTTCTTCTCCTTCTCCTTCTCCTCCTCCTTCTCCTCCTCCTCCTCCTCCTCCTCCTCCTCCTCCTCCTTCTCCTCCTTCTTCTTCTGCTTCTTCTTCTTCTCCCTCTTTGTCTTCTTCCTCCTCCCCCTCCTCT